TTGATACTGCACTGACAGCATAGTAGACACTGCTGCACTGACAGCATAGTAGACTAGTAGACACTGCTGCACTGACAGCATAGTAGACACTGCTGCACTGACAGCGTAGTAGACACTGCTGCACTGACAGCGTAGTAGACTGATACTGCACTGACAGCATAGTAGACTGATACTGCACTGACAGCGTAGTAGACACTGTTGCACTGACAGCATAGTAGACTGATACTGCACTGACAGCGTAGTAGACTGATACTGCACTGACAGCCTAGTAGACACTGCTGCACTGACAGCGTAGTAGACTGATACTGCACTGACAGCATAGTAGACTGATACTGCACTGACAGCGTAGTAGACACTGCTGCACTGACAGCTTAGTAGACTGATACTGCACTGACAGCGTAGTAGACACTGCTGCACTGACAGCGTAGTAGACAGATACTGCACTGACAGCGTAGTAGACTGATACTGCACTGACAGCGTAGTAGACACTACTGCACTGACAGCGTAGTAGACTGATACTGCACTGACAGCATAGTAGACACTACTGCACTGACAGCGTAGTAGACACTGCTGCACTGACAGCGTAGTAGACTGATACTGCTCTGACAGCATAGTAGAAACTGCTGCACTGACAGCGTAGTAGACTGATACTGCACTGACAGCATAGTAGACACTGCTGCACTGACAGCGTAGTAGACACTGCTGCACTGACAGCATAGTAGACTGATACTGCACTGACAGCATAGTAGATTGATACTGCACTGACAGCATAGTAGACACTGCTGCACTGACAGCGTAGTAGACTGATACTGCACTGACAGCATAGTAGACACTGCTGCACTGACAGCGTAGTAGACTGCTACTGCACTGACAGCATAGTAGACACTGCTGCACTGACAGCATAGTAGACTGATACTGCACTGACAGCATAGTAGAAACTGCTGCACTGACAGCGTAGTAGACTGATACTGCACTGACAGCATAGTAGACACTGCTGCACTGACAGCGTAGTAGACTGATACTGCACTGACAGCATAGTAGACACTGCTGCACTGACAGCGTAGTAGACTGATACTGCACTGACAGCATAGTAGAAACTGCTGCACTGACAGCGTAGTAGACACTGCTGCACTGACAGCGTAGTAGACTAGTAGACACTGCTGCACTGACAGCATAGTAGACACTGCTGCACTGACAGCGTAGTAGACTGATACTGCACTGACAGCATAGTAGAAACTGCTGCACTGACAGCGTAGTAGACTGATACTGCACTGACAGCGTAGTAGACACTGCTGCACTGACAGCGTAGTAGACTGATACTGCACTGACAGCATAGTAGACACTGCTGCACTGACAGTGTAGTAGACACTGCTGCACTGACAGCGTAGTAGATTGATACTGCACTGACAGCATATATTGATATACTTCATTAAATGCAATTTTATTCAACCCAATAGGTGGAGCTTTCCCATCATCTTCGATAATGACTGTTAACCTGACTTATTCAGGACAAATCAGTGCTTCCACGGTCTTCATGGTAAGAATTGCTTTATAGTTTTCTATCACTGAAAAAGTAAGAAATTTGTAGTTTTGTTTAAATAGTCAAATTACTGAATATTGGTATACTTCTCTATTTACAGATGCTCTTAGGCATATTTATGGTTTATTTCATCATCCGAGAAATCCTCAACATGAAGGAGCTTGGGTTGAGTTATTTTGCATCTTTGTGGCACTGGATAGATCTGGCTATTATCATACTCTGTCTAAGTTCCATTGGAATGTACATCTATCAACAAGTATATACAGCTGAAGTTATCAATCAATACTTTGCACATCCTGTTAGATTCACTAATTTCTACCGTGCCGTCTACTACATTGAAGTTGTTAATACACTAAATGCCATTATAATGTTATTAGTTACTCTGAAGGTGAGTTGGATAATTATGCATTCTCATCGCCATGACAACCATGCCATTATACTGTTAGTAGTTATCCTTGAGGTGAGTCGATTAAGTATGCATCCCCATCACCATGACAACCATACCATTATACTGTTAGTAGTTATCCTTGAGGTGAGTTGATTAAGTATGCATCCCCATCACCATGACAACCATACCATTATACTGTTAGTAGTTATCTTTAAGGCGAGTTGCATAATTATGCATTCTGTTGCCGTGACAACTATTTGCTTGATGCCTGACCTGAATGTTTTGATGTCATCCAAAATAGTCACATATTTCCTTTAAAATTTCACAGTTGTGTGTACCATATTTGCTCTAGTAGTAGCACATACACTTAAAAAAGACAGACGTGTATCTATGGTCAAAATAAGTCACATATTAATGATTCTGTCCCAGTATACAATAAGTACAAATTTGGGGGGGTTATGTGGTCTAATAATAATAATAATAATAATAATGATATTAAAATCCTCATTTGATATCTATAAAATAATAAATAAATAAAAATAAAGTTTCTATTAGAGATGTATTTCTAATAGAGCATATATGGAATACTGTATATTTTTAAAAACAAGATTTTCCCTGATTGTCTCTCTCCAGTTGTTACGACTGCTCCGTTTTAATCGAATGATGTCAACGTTCTCAAGAACTATGTCTGAGGCCGGTAGATATTTATTTTGCTGTACAATGATATTTGTGATTGTACTTTGGGCATATGTCCAGCTCACCTACTTGGTATGTATTGAGTCATTTGTTATCGTTGTGTTTACAGTTATGAAGTATCATTTATTGGGTTTTTGATGCTGCAGAATTATAACTTAGAAATTTCTTTGTAGTTTGATTTGTTCTTGCCTTGTTATTGGTTAATAAACACTGATTTATCCTTGTCTCTGATTGGCTAAGGAAATTGATTTGTCATTGCTTTCTGATTGGTCAAAAAAACACTGATTTTTTTTTCTTATCTTCTCATTGGTCAAAGAAATTCATAGTGATTTTATGTTTGTCTATTACGTTGGTCATAAAACATACATTGCTTTGTCTTTGCGTTATGTTTGGTTAACATGAAATTTTATTACATTCTGACAAGTTGGGATCTCAAAAATAATGTGCTAATATAAATTCCACCTCAAATTCTGACTATATTTGTGGTTTTTTTCACAGGTATACGGGTCATTGATTTGGGGTTTACACAGGTTGGATGCAGGAATGGGATTCCTGCTAGCACTTATGAGAGGACCATCAATTAACATCGATCTGTGTATCCAGTATTACCCGATTTTAACACCATTTATCTTCTCGTTCTTCTGGTTCATCTTCTGCGTGATCATAGCCGCTTTATTTGCAGCCATCATGATTAATAGTTATAAGGTGTCTAAGAGAAGATCAACCAGACACACACTGGAATTCCAAGATTATGAAATGATTGATTTCATGATGAAAAGATTCAAACAGATGGTTGGAATTGCGAAAGTCAAGGTGAATTATGTTTATTTTGACTTTGTTCATGATTGTTTATTCACAAAGTTTATTGCTGCCAATTTGCTTGATTTAAAAATTTCAGACCATTCATGGAAACAAAATGTCACAAAAGTGACAATAACTCTCTAAGCCATGCCATGATCATAGTGAAAGTTACTGTGACCCTCTAGGTACACAATAAATGTCAAATTGACTCTCTAGGCAACCAGTGAAAGTTACCATAACTCCCATGCTGACAGTCCTATGCAATCTGCACACAAAAGGGCTCACATAGTTTGTTTGCATCAAAATAGATTTTAATACATTATTCATATTTGCCTTTTATTCACTTAGCAATACCGTCCAAAGGTGAAATTCCGCGGCTTTGAGTCATTATCATCACGGTCTACACGTTCCATGTGTAGTACTCGTCAGTCTTCGCGCATATCTTCTGCAGGTTCAAGTTCAGGATTTCAGTCTCTATACATGGAACGTTGGTGGGACCCTGAACAGATGACTGACATACTTCAGAGTCTGAATCCAGCTGTTGATGTTATACTCGCAAAGTTTGAAGTACTGGATCATCTCGCTATGGAAGAAGAAAATCTTGTGAAATACTGGACAGATGTATATGCAATGAGGAAAAAAAATACTGTTCAACATAAATCTGCTTGTAAAGGACAAGTTAAAACTAAAACTGTGAATATCGATTGTAAACGACGCCGAGTCAGTGTGCCTGAACAGCCAAATAAATCGACAAAGGGCGCTGTGATAGTAGCTGGACGGCCAAAAAGCGAACAGTGTGGTCGCAGTGGAGAGAGCAGTGGTGTAAAGAAACCCGATAGTGGGAAATCGCACCGCACTGCTAAGAAAGCTTGGTAGTTTGGGATGAACATATTATTTTTATCAAAAATAACCTGAAATTGGTTGATACCAATCTCTTATTTATTATATAAATGATTGGGGTATAACAAAATTAGATAAACTTTTAAAAAGATCGCCACGTAATATTACATACAGCGTGGCACCCTTATTGCTGAGTGGAGCCATGGACTGAAGCTGCATATAATTTATGAAAACTAATATATTTTTAATTCAGATCATATTCTGTATGATGTCTTATATCATAATAGACTGCCATTATTAAGTAGGAAGAAAAAAAACACACAAAAGTGTTTAAATGGTTGTTAGCACGAAGCTCAATAGGGTAGTCATAGCAACCATAATTATTGTACATAATGATGATTTTAGGTATGATTTCATACTACAGGTTGCACCAATGACTCCATGCATAGAAACCGTATATATTTTAGAAGCAATATTTACAAAATGCATTTATAAATGCTGCTCTAGCCCCAACAAAATTAGGTACTTTGTTATACGTTATAATGCAATCGAATCTCACCAACCACCTTTGGATATTTAGATTGAAGTGCAATTTTAATTGTGAAACAGATGTCTCGGGCCTTGTAACACACAGATGTCTTTTTAGGCCTGGTACTCTGTGAGGAATATTTAATTGTCAATGCTAGTGAAAGTTTGATATATGCTGCAACATTATTACAATTTATAATATTTTGAAGTAAAGTGAAAAAGCCTTTTTTTTAATAATTCAAGAAAATTTTAAAAGAAATTTTAACAGAAGGATTTTTTTTTTATTTTAACATTCCCTTAAAGTACCGGTAGAAATTACTTGAACCAGTGTACATAGCTAAGTTTATTATCTGTAAATTGTGAAAAAATTGCCAATTATTTGTTAATAATAATAATAATAATAATAATATAAAAAATATCTATTTTGTAAATACAATGTTTTTTTTTTTTTTTTTTTAAAAATCAAGTGTTTTTTTATTAGCAGTAAACT